GGATTGTCAATTACAGGGAGCTTAGAATCCAAAAAAGTGTTTTCAATTACAGTGAGCTTGGAATCCAAGAGATTGTCAATTACAGGGAGCTTAGAATCCAAAAAAGTGTTTTCAATTACAGTGAGCTTGGAATCCAAAGGATTGTCAATTACAGTGAGCTTGGAATCCAAGAGACTGTCAATTACAGTGAGCTTGGAATCCAAAGGATTGTCAATTACAGGGAGCTTAGAATCCAAAAAAGTGTTTTCAATTATAGTGAGCTTGAAAGCCAGGAGATTGTCAGTTACAGTGAGCTTGGAATCCAAGAGACTGTCAATTACAGTGAGCCTGAAACCCAAGAAAGTGTTTTCAATTATAGTGACCTTGAAACCCAAGAAAGTGTTTTCAGTTATAGTGAGCTTGAAAGCCAGGAGATTGTCAGTTACAGTGAGCTTGGAATCCAAAGGATTGTCAATTACAGTGAGCTTAGAATCCAAAAAAGTGTTTTCAATTATAGTCAGCTTGGAATCCAAAATATTGTCAATTACACTGAGCCTGGAATCCAAGGGATAGTCAATTACAGTGTCATCTCTTCCAAACAAAATGCATATTCTCAATACAATACATTATCTTATCACTTCAATTCCTCTGAAAAAAAAAAAGAAAAAAGTAACTTCCCCACATGAGAGTGTCACGATTTCTTCCAAGCAGCCTGTGTATTACACTATTCCGCGAATCTCATCATCCGATAAGAGCGGTAAACAAGAACACAAAGAGGAGAATCAATCGTCCAGTACCTATACAAATAACTTTGACCGTCGATTGTTCTTTTGCCTCGGTAAGGATGTCAATTAGATTCCGCGGCGCGAACAGTTGCACATCGTGCATCCCTTGTTACGCATCACAGACAGCCGCCTCTCAATTCACTCGCTGATACATAGTAGTACTCTCGCTCGAGCGGTTACGTCACCGCCCAATGAATGGACCTCGGCGACCACGTTCTTCTCCCTCGTCGTCCCTCCGATCCGACGACGTGGAGGCAAGTTAGCCTTGTTGAATGGCCGAGGAGCGCGTTTGAGCGGGGCCGATTAGCCGATAGCCCATTCACGTCTCGATCATCGATCCTCCAAGAGAGAGAATCGCGAACGCGTGTGATTCAGTGGTGTGCAAAGGAAATGCGTAATTTCGTAGTACGAATGTTGATCGACCGGTGTGTATGTATGTATGCAAGTTTGCAGAACGAATTCCTCGGTTGGAGAACGGTTTTACGAGTTCGTGGAACGGTGTAATTGTGTCGCGTTTTTTTTTTCTTTTTTTTTTTTAGACATTAGGTGAGAATGTGCGCTTAATTATTCATGATAAGAGAGAGATCGTGGGTGGGAGAGACGTGTTGAAGTTGGGTTGGAGTTTGTTCTTGGAAGGAATTGTCAATGAAAATACTCGATTTGTTTCTTCACGATAATATTGAAGAATTGTTTGTTTAACGATCAAAGGTGTGGGTAAATCGTTTATTTTTTTTTTTTTTGTATTAATTTGTTTCGGTGAATAGTGCATTTTAAGCTCTGTGTAAGTTCTACGTAGAAATTTGATGGTTGCAGTGTATTTAATTTAATTGTTCTGAAAATAATCTTCGTAGGATTAAACACTCTTGCACAGGAGTAATTAAACTGTCCAATAAATCGTTCAAATTATCTTCCTCTGCTCTGTCTAATTGCATTTAACCCTTTCGCGATTGTCTCCTGGGGGCTTATACTGTCCCTATTTTTGAGTAGACAACGATACCGCTATAGGAACTGTTTAATCTATTCATTCAAAGATGCAACATCGACAAATTTCTTGTTAATTCATGAAATTATCCAATTTTTGTCTCTGCCTGTAAACAATGATGTCGTAATACGAATTTTCTGAAAGTATTCACTAAGAAATGTATTCGTGCAGTGTACACAAAAATGATAGATAAAGGACAAGGTTTCATTTCCTTCAGCAAAATTTTCCAAAGGCACAGTTCACCCAAGAAATTTAAATTCTCTCAGACAAATTGATCCAGTTAATCTCCGTACAATCGTCACACCACATAAAACCACAGATTTTTATGCAAATTCATATGTTTACGAATATAATTAAAAAAATAAAAGCTAGATAGGCAATCATTTTATTCACTAAATCCTACAACAAGTTTATCCATACATGTTCACTCATTACACACGTTCTGCATATTTTCCCTCCACCAAATTTCTCATTAATCTCCATACAATCGTCGTGCCACATCAAACAAGAAAACTAGACAGCTAATTTTGTGCAAATTCATATTTCCACGAATACAATGAAAAAAAATAAAAGCTAGCAAAACTACTACATCTTGTGTTTATCGATATATTTTTGCTCATTAC